ACACCCCCCCCCCCCTGGCAACATGAGGCCACCCCGCGCATATAAAAGGCCTCCGTACCGAAGCGAAGCGCTCGAAGACGGGCCGGATAGCCAGGGACGCGTCGAGGCACGCCAGCCGCATCACTGGCTCGTAGACACCGGGGACCACGCTTCCCGTAGGCTCTATCACCACCGCAAACCCTTCCGTGTACGTTCCGACCTGCGCAACAAACGTTCGTGTGCGGCATCGCGATGAGAAAAAGGTGCCGGTGGGGCGTCACGGGCGGGGGGGGTGTACTCATAGTCGTGCATGCCGTAGTCGTTAGACCATTGACCTCGCATCCCTACAAAGCCGGGACGGAGCACGCCGGGTTCTCACCGGACCAGGCTCTCACATCACCAAGCGCGAAGCGCCGTGAGATATTCGGCGAGTCGCATGAAGGGTGCGCTGCATCCTGCTAAGGGTGTTCGGCATCTTGTGCTTACTTCCTTGCGTACGGATGACAGCTGCGTATGAATTAATTTATTTTCTGGTGCTTTCACTTCCAGAGACAGTTGTAAGCACTGTGTAACTGCCTCGAGGGTGCTTGACCATTTTAACACAACGTGGTGCGATCATCCCCCTTGCGCGGAGTGAGGGGGGGGGCAACAGCAGCAGCCGAGGGAATGTTGAGAAATAGGCATTGGTGGTGGCAGTGCGGAGTTTGGGGGGAGGGCTCAGTCGCAATACGAGGCACCGTGTGTTCATTCCCAACAAACATGGGGGGTCCCCCGATTGCATCTGCCCAAAAGCGCTGCCGGGCAGCTACTGAGGGTGAAGGCGACAACGATAGCAACAGACCTCCAACGACAACACAACGACAACATCGGCAGCAACGTCAATATTGGCAAGCGGCGGAGGCAGGCGTACCCGTCAACTCACCAATGTAGCGAAGTCGGCCACGTCGACAAGGGGGCGGAAGTCGTCCAGCCCCGTGACCTCCAACGTTCTGGAACATAACATACGAAAAGCAGGAGGTAGAGACGGCACGAAAATGACCAACATGACGACCACACAGGATCTAGTCTCTACACACACACGCGCGCATAGGCGAAAACGAAACAGTGCGCGTCCAAAAGAGCAAGTCAGTCGTCCTAAAAGAAAGCCAAGAGCAAGCCAACAAGTGAGAGGCTCTTTTCATCCTTGTCTTGAGTACGTCCGCTCCAGCCCAGAAAACGAGCTGGAACAGGCCAAAGTCACACAAAGGCGCACAGATATGTGGAGGAAAAAACTATGGCGCTGCACTCACTCCAAACAAACCGTAATTTCTGCCTGCCTTTCCCCCCCCCCCGGCCCGCCCCCCCCGGTGTTTGCCATCGGGGTTGGGTTTTCGTCGCTTGGCAACGACGTTGTAAAACAAGCCAATTCACTTCGTGAACTCGGCAACCAGGTTACCGTTTTTTTTTTTTTCCTCCGTTTTTTTTTTTGGCGGTAACCATAATGGTGGTCGAGTAGATCATGTTGTGCGGGGTGGAGAACCCTCGCTCCGCGCAAGGGGGATGATCGCACCACGTTGTGTTAAAATGGTCAAGCACCCTCGAGGCAGTTACACAGTGCTTACAACTGTCTCTGGAAGTGAAAGCACCAGAAAATAAATTAAGTCATACGCAGCTGTCATCCGTACGCAAGGAAGTAAGCACAAGATGCCGAAAACCCTTAGCAGGATGCAGCGCACCCTTCATGCGACTCGCCGAATATCTCACGGCGCTTCGCGCTTGGTGATGTGAGAGCCTGGTCCGGTGAGAACCCGGCGTGCTCCGTCCCGGCTTTGTAGGGATGCGAGGTCAATGGTCTAACGACTACGGCATGCACGACTATGAGTACCCCCCCCCCCCCCCCCCCCGGCCCGGCCAGCGGATCCATATTTTCTACTTCTTGCCATCTCTGGCGTGTTTCGACTGGTCCACTGGTGTGCGAGGCCGATGCAACAACACAACAACAACAACAACAACAACAACAACAACAACAACAACAACAACAACAACAACATCGACAACATCGACAATACACACACAACACAGACAAAACTCAAAAACACACACAAGACCAAGGACGCAAGGCAGCGCTTTGCCAACCGCACCGCAGGAGCGAGTTCAGTCGGGAGTAGGCGAACTTGAGCGGCTTCCTCTCCAGCGCCGTGACCTGGTGCATGCGGTGGACAAACGCCAGGGGAGTCTCCGACTCGACGCTCTGCACGCGCACGCGCGTCTTGAAGTGCTCCACGACCTTCCTCAGTGTTTCGGCAGGGATGACACCGCGATGGTGGTTCCCGACAACGGCGGCAAAGCAAAGTTGGCCGGAGATTTGGTCGTCGGGCAACAGGTCGGGGAGTTGAATTAAAGGAACGGAGACGGGGATAGGGTCATTCCGGTGTGCCTTCATTCAAAGGATACGTGGTCGTTTAAGTCACGGCAAGGGGACAGGCGACGAGGGGATGGTACCTTACAAAATGGGCGGGGGGTGGTATTACACGCACAACGCTGGATTACATCGCGCAAGAAAAAACGCACTCCCTGGTTCGTTCTCCATCGACCGGCGCCATCCTGCCTCGTTCCGTACGGTGAATTTTCGTGGAACCCGACCCCCTGTTCGATCCTTGGAATACTTCCGTACACAAAACCATCCAAACTACCTACTAGGGTTACGCTGTTCTTAGCACCAAAACCGGTAGGAACCCAAGCCCAGCTTCGTTCTACACCAAACGTCAGGAGAGTATCAACAACAAGACCAGCGGAGGCCGAACGAAATGAAAAGGGTCTGAAGGCGATCACGACGCGGAGCACGTCGCCAGCGTCGAAGATATACGCTAGGCGAGAAGGGGAGAGAGACAAAGACTAGGCACGAATGCATGCGCTCGCTCTTCTCGGATTCGGAAACCCCGTCAAAACTCTCAATGAAAACCTCGAGACGACGCAAGGCACCGCACCTTTCGCATGAACGACACGAAGTGCTCCGCCCTCCGGATGTTACCGGGCACCGCTTCCTGCAAGATGTCGGCGGGAAGCGCCGGGTTAGCCGGAATCGCGTCCGCCGCCGCTGCCACCTCCATCGCACCGCCGGCGGCGGGGGCGCTAGCCCCCGCCCCCCCNACCGGGCACCGCTTCCTGCAAGATGTCGGCGGGAAGCGCCGGGTTAGCCGGAATCGCGTCCGCCGCCGCTGCCACCTCCATCGCACCGCCGGCGGCGGTGGCGCTAGCCCCCGCCCCCCCTGCTCCGCCGCCGCCGCCGCCAGCAGCGGCGGCACCTCCCGCGCCCGCGGCGCTGCCGGCTACGCCCCCGCTCGCTCGGCCCAAGCCCGAGTCTGCGAGGCCGCTGACCAGGCGTTGGTACTCCGCGTTGAGCCTTGCTTGGTCCGTTCGTTTCATCTCGGCCACCTGGGTAGGTCAACCACGGTATTGGCAAACGGAAAACTGTGGGTGCACGTATTGGGGACGGCTATGTTGACGACAAAAAAAAACGTGGACGTACGCGAAGGGGAAAATATAGCAAAAAACAGAAAACGTGGATGTACGTAAAGAGGCCGGCGGGGTGATAATGATGAAAGTATTGCTGTTACAAGCCTCTCAGAATGCCGAGACAAGCTTCAAGACCACAGCTGAGACAAGGTTAACCACACCTATCAACATATTCAGACTCGTCTTGGGTAATGCTCCTCGTCTTCCATCACTACCATCTACAGCCGAACTACAAACAGCACCGCCAGCGGCGGCGGTGAATAACGCCGCCGAAGTTTTTCGGTGCTGTAGAAGAAGAAACGATATTTTTCACTCATGACAAGTTTCCTATTTTGCACAGTGGTAACACACTAGCATTGACCAAGCTTTCCACTCAAGCCAGTTTTTTTCCTACGTGCAAAAACAGAAGCAGGCAACAGACCAAGTACCTTGGATGAAATCTTCCCGAGACATCTGGAAGCGGCATCGAGGCTCCGCTTGTCGAGGTCGACGCTGAGAGCCTCCGTGCACACGTTGTCGATGTTGTGGGCCTCGTCGAAGACCACCACGCTCTCCGCCTCGAGCTCGCGGGACACCATGCCGGCAACCTACAACCGGCGACCACGGTATATTTCGCGACGGACGAGCCGATTGAAAGTGATGCCGCAAAGCCACGCTTTCACCAGAGACGAGCATCCAGTGGCAGGCACATAATTTTTTCCTGTTTCGAACATTTGGTGATTGCGCCGCACTTGAACTGAGCCGCACATGTTGCTTCTCTTCCACCAATTCCAATACTTTATCATTACGCCGCAATTGACTTGAGCTGCACCCAAAGCCACACCTTCGGGTCCAGCATGTACTGGTAGTTGTACACCAGAACGTTGGCGTGGTTGATGATGTGCCTAGCCAAGAAGTAAGGGCACCAGCCCTTCTCCTTGCCGAACTCCTTGAGGTCGTCGAGGCTGTAGATCCCGTTCGGCATCGCGGCGTCGCTGCCGTTCGCGGAGTAGCCCTCAAAGAACTCGCACAGCTCCCCTCCGCCTCTGCATCATGCATTTATTTGTGAACATCGGTGTTGGCCCTTTGCTATCGTGCGAATGTGGCGTGGACGTCTCGACATTGCGTGTAACAAGTCCGGAGTGGTAACCTGGGAGCGCGCTTCAGAACTGGAAGTGCCGCATACGCGTGAGTGACCTCGGGTGAAGCAACGCCTGATTACTTCAAGCATCGACAAGTACGGCGTAAATTCGCAACACCTTCTTCTCAACGGGCGCAAAGCTGGTAAGTCGGAGAGGCAAGACTCAGCAAAAGCGCATGTGGTCCTGCGAGATGCGGAAAACAAATGCAGGTAGCAGACAAAGGAGTACGTGCGATCGAACCCCGTCTTCCCCTCCCACATATTCATCTCCCTCTTCTCTACTCTCTCGGTTCCGCTCCTTCCTGCTCTTCTCCTTCCCTCGGGAAAACCCATGTACCTGTCCGGCCTCGCGCACGTACACGGTAAACGTGAACTACCCCAAAACCATGTCGCCTCCGATTGCTCCATCTATGGCTGTTTCGTCGTCGCCATACGACCCACCTCCACCCCCCCGGCTGGACAAGTTTATTACGAAAAAACACCGGCGGGGGCAGGAATATCCTAACCCTCAACCCCGATTGATCCGATTCTACACTTTAAATCCGAAAGTTTGCATACTCAGAAAAACCGGCGTAGCCTACCGTCCCGTCGCTGCCCAACTGGACTTACCCTGCTTCCGCCTTCTTCCTGACCCAGCTGGCGGTCATATCTCGGCAAGCCCCGTCGACAGCCTCCCTGTCGCTCTCCTCGATCACTCTTTCGTGAATACACAGGTTTCGACGGGAGCTCAGGCATAGCGCTAGCACCTGTAAGGGCGGCGAACACCCGAAGAAAAAGTGTACAACCAGCAAACTTTGTCACAGCATTTTGGAAAACACAGTGGAGCGAACCAGTCTGGAGTAGCAGCTACAACGGGGGTCGAATTCTGCATAGCGACTCCAAAAACATACCCTGGGCTTCATTCAATAGTGGGAACAGCAGGCGTGAACAGGCCGAACAGTGTTCCATTCTGAGCTGGCACCACTCGTCAATTGTACTGCCCGTTGGAACTTGGAGCGAACCAACGGTCGATCCTTTGATTCCCCCAGCAATTTCGAGAGATCAGTTCTCCCAAAACGCAACCACGCAATGTGCGAAACATAATATTTGGCCTCACGCTGAGGCTGTGCGTGTGGAGAGCCTTACCAGCGCTCAATGGCTTGCTTAGGAATCGAGCGGTTGATGTCCCACGCTGCACAACCACGCAAGCTCACCCTTTCGTCAACGGACCCTTTTTTTTCTGATGTAGCTGGCCCGGTACATGCCGTACGGAGCGGTACCGCATACGCTTCTGAAAGGCCTCACACCACTCCACAAAAGCACTTGCGCACCCACTCCACAAAGACACAACCGTACTCACCTTCTCCCCTTCCGGTCCAAGCTGGTCCTTCCTGTACCCGATGACTCTCTTCAGCTCCTCGATACACTTCATCATCTCGGGCACCGTACGGGTGCAGTAGATGAGCTTGCCCACCTCCGGGTGGGCAAACTGGTAGGAGGTGATGAGAGAGATCAGGCAGACGGTCTTCCCGGTGCCTGGAGCGCGATGGAAACAGCCGTAGAGGGGGGGTTACGGTCAGCTATCCGTGGTCTCCTTCAGGGGCCACCCATGGCCATGTAGGCATTACAATGCGATCGGGAGGCGACACGAGCCAATTTGTTCGCCCCGTCCGATTGTGAACAAAATGCACAAGCTACAAACGACACTTTGCGGTGTTCGTGGCGCTGCCGCCCTCCGTGGTTGGTGTTGAGTGTGTTACCCCAGGAATGCGCGTAGACATCATGCAATAGTACACAACAAAGGGTGCTGATCCCTCAGGCCTGTGCCAGGAGCATGCTCTCCAGGCGGTGGGTGGGCGCACTTAGACCCAAACCGCATATATACCCACCACAACCGTACTTCCCATACGCGTATCCCCCACAGAGGACGCACAGATCGGACTCATATCCAACTACACCACAAACAGCCCCCCTACTTGATACGATGCACGATCTTGCACTCAATTTTTCACGACTAGTAGACCGAAAAACACAGGAAACACCCCTTGAGAAAACCTATTGAACAACACTGGCTACGCATTCAACACAAAGCGCCTCCATCAGTGTATTCACGAATCCAACGCATTTGTCTCTCTGGGAATTTTCTCAAACCGTCAAGGCAACAGAATCATCCCTCAGAACAGTACCCAGCAAGTGGCTATATGCTGCATCAGAAAAGCGTCGGAAGGAAAACGGACATTTCTGGAAACACGATGTCAAAAAACTGGCACAACATCTTCGAACAAAACGAAGCTTCAACTTCTTGACCAATAGAAACGATCATTCTGAAAAAGCTCAGGGGCCCCAGTAACTACTCGCCAAAACACGTCAAACCCTTCTCCCAATGTGCAGTGGTGTCCAAGGACCAAATCCAAAACAGCGCGCACCCGCGGATCGGTACCGTCGCTGTTGTCCAAGAAACGATAGAAAACGTAACCAAGCATCCATTCAAACAGCCTCCCTGCTGTCACATCCCGAAACTATCACCCCGAGCTTATATCGCTGTGCCAACAGCCCTCCTGCTACAACACTCACCTATAACACAGATAGACAGGAAGACCTGAAAATAAAACTATTTGATGCGCTGCTCATGCCCTCTAGAATCATGGTTATACATGACATTAACCCCCATGATTTTCGATGCAAGAGAGCAGCACAACATTGGAAGAAAAATCATTGCAATGATATCAGAACTCGCTGCTAGGACGGCAAAAAAACAAAATCATGAACACGAACACAAATGGCATCGCAATGCAGGAACAGTTCGTACCGCATGCAACCTGTCTCCCAAACTGAAACTCCCTGAGCGGTTTGCCTTCATGCACTTCAAACAACGCGCTACCATTCCATTTCTTGCGCGTTTTTGAGGCCAGAAACACCCTCAAAGAGCGACACTTAACTCAGGACTTTAACATCAAAACAACGGCATCGAACCATCCTCTGTTTTTAAGTATCCAGTTTGCAGACAAAACGCGCCTGAACGCACCTCCCTCCATAGAATCCGGAGCACCGAAATCGTACGTAAACGCGATCCATCCATGAGAACCAACACCAAAAATGAAGCATTCAGCTGCATGGTAAAACACGACTCAATACATGTCAAGAACCAAAGAAAAATAACCACGTACTGCCGATACCACACTGCTTCCCATCCCACGGGTTGTAGCAATGCTTGCCTTGTCGCAGCGTACAATTATCATGAACACAAACACAAAAATTACGCACACCCTGTGGCACACGCGTGTTTTCCTCATCAAAGCGAACGGTGCGCTACTAAGGGAAAAACAAAAAAAACAAAGAAAAAGAGCGAAGCAGTCAAATCGTCTTTGTCTTCTGACAAAACCCAAACAAACTCGTTAACGTTTCACATTTTGTCTCAGTTGGCTGTAACAAGGTGAGGCCGTCCCTGTAACAGTTGCCTCGCCGTTCCCGGTCGACTCGAGGGTGCCGCCCATGCAGCCGATGCCGCTGCGGCCATCATGCTCTCCGGTGTCAACGCTGTCGACGGTGACGCCGCCGCTGCTGCTGCCCCTGCCACCGCTGCTGTAGCCATTCCCCCGCCGCCACGACCGTCATGAGTTCCGGCGCCAACACGGCTACCGGTGACGTCGCTGCTGCCGCCGCTACCACCGCCGCTGTTGCCGCTGCTGCCGCTACTGCCGCCGACGGGGCTCTGGCTGAAGCCGCCGCTGCCATCGTTGCTCCTGCTGCCGCTGCTGCCGTCGCCGCTGCTGCTGCCGCTGCTGCCGCTGCTGCCGCCAACGGAGCTCTGGCTAAAGCCGCTACTCCCATTTCTGCCCCTATCGAAGGGGTATGCCACACCCGGCACCGCCCTCCGTCTCCTCGCGCCACGCGAAGCTGTCTACGCGGGGTCAAAAGGGTGCGTCGGGGCTCCACTCCAGGTTTCATCCAGCCCCTCATCCCCGCTCCCATTGCCGCCGCTGCCGTTGCTGCTGCTGCTGCTCACTTCCTCCTCAGCCTTCCCGGGGTCAAAAGGGTGGGTCAGGGCTCCCCTCCAGGTTTCCAGCCCCTCATCCCTGCTCCCATCGCTGCCGTTGTCCTTGCTGCTGCTGCTGCTGCTGACGCCGCCGCCGCTGCTGCTGCTGCCGCTGCTGCCGTTGTTGCATCCTTCCTCCTCGGCCTTCCCGGGGTCGAAAGGGTGCGTCGGTTCTCTACACCAGGTTTCATCCAGCCCTTCATCCCCGCTCCCATCGCCGCCGCTGTCCTCGCTGCTGCTGCTGCTGCTGCTGCTGCTGCTGCTGCTGCTGCTGCTGCTGCTGTTGCTCACTTCCTCCCCAGCCTTCCCGGCATCGAAAAGGTGCGCCGGTTCTCCACTCCAGGTTTCACCCAGCCCCTCATCCCCGCTGTCCTCACTGCTGCTGCTGCTGCTGCTGCTGCTGCTGCTGCTGCTACCTTTGTTCACGTAACCCCCAGCACATTGGCTACCGAGCTCGAGAGCTCCAGATCCGACAGACTCGGCCCACTTCCTCGAAAGATGCAGACTCCGCTTCGCAAACGAGCAATTGTTCGCGAAAACGACGTACTCAACAGACTCGACAGACTCGGCCCACCATTTGTCGAAAACGGCAGACTCCACCTCCTCCGCACGTGCGCTATCGTTCGCGATACCAAGTACCACAAACAGAAGCGTTGAAGTCACGGTCGCGGAGTTCGTTCGAAAGAGATTTCATCAAGATGACATGACGAAATGCATCACTGTACGCGCCAAAAAAGGGTTCATTGCGCCGCCATTCGTCCATGACTTTTACAAACGTACGAAGTACGAACCCATCCGAAAACAATTAAGTACTGCTGTGCAGCAGCTTGGGTTGTCCTCACCTGTGGGCATCTCTAGCAAGCAGTGACCTTTAGCATCCAGGGATCTCTTTAGCTCGAGCATGTAGTCATACTGCTCTGGATACATGAAGTCATACGGGAAGAAGACATCCAGCCCATCAAGGTCCAGCCGCATTTTGTGTTGCCACACTGCTTTCGCTTTACCCGAGGCAGAGCAATAAAGGGAAGTGCTGCACGAACACACGTGCCTGTGTTCGTCCAGAAAGTGGGGTTGCCGCCACCGATGCCGCTACCAGGAACCAGGAACAAATGCTGCCGGGGCCGATTGCCTGTGTGCGCAACTTCGCAGCCTATTGAGTCGTCCCAGCAGTGTATCCTGAGACGACTCTCTAGGGCGTATGCCCGGGAATCTCCACGACAACGATTGCTGACGGTAGCCTCCAAAACGACGACCTCACGGAATGTCTCTGGACGCCACCTTGCTTCCGGCTAATGCTCGCGTCTGTGGTACAACAGCGCCATTGCTGCGCTGGGATGAGGCGTGGATGGGGGGTCCCGCCGAATGTCCATGGATGGTATTTCGCCGCATTTTTGGTTAGATGGCGGTTTCATCAGCTTTTTTCGCGAGGACGAGAACAAGCCAGATAATTAAGGAGACATAAATACACGCACAGAAAGATAATTGCTACTGCTGCGGTGCATGCGCTAGCCAACAGGGTGTTCGCCGCAAGTGACCGTACGGCTTCCAGAACCGTGTAAGTATCTATCTCGCATCAACGCCTGGCTTGGAAGAGCTTGACTCTACACAACGATGGCGATGTCTCTGTCGTCCCTCCGCATCCCGTCGGTGTCTCATGCGACCGATGCTTTCGGAGAGGAAAAAGGACTGCTCATTTGCAGGCCAGACCGCAGGTACTACATTCACAAGATATGTCACGTTCTGCTGTCTTGTCGACGTTGGCGTGTGTGTATAGCTCTTGATATTACTGTCGCGTACATGCGTTGATGGTTCGTCGACTCTGATCGATTTGTCGAGGAACGGAGCTTGAGTTTCCCCCTCTGGAAATCAGTCGTGTGTAAAAGGTTTAACATCAAACGGATGCCATTGGTCTGCAGCTGTGTCTTGCTATACCAAGTCGATTCCATATACAAGGATGGCACTCATGCAAGATGTACGTGTGTTATACTTCGTAAAAGCGTATACAGTCTTCATGGTGTTGCACCGCCACAACCAAGCGTTGCTACAAAAAAACGATATATTTGAAGCGTTGCGGATGGCCTCGTAACTTCAACGCCAAAGATACGGTGTACGCGCCCATATGACAACGAGAGAAACAGCGTTCAAACAGACCCCGATGCAACATGATGGGGTAGGTGTCTGCTGAAGCAAACTTATGGCACAATGCAGTCTGCCCAAAATCAAACATCATCTGCTGTAGACCGCTGTCCCATCCTTGCACATGTGCCGTTCTCCAATCGCTGCTTGGGTATTTCCCCCCTTAAGCTATGTACACGTTGTAGAATTCGCAGCGGCTACCACGCTGACCAAGGATTGGCAAGACCTGCCTTTGTATTGACTGGCGTTTTTTCATCCACTCGCTGCTGCGTCTCTACTTTTCATGATATGGTAGTTGCGCACCTTTCTTCACCATCCCGGAGGGGTGCTACGCTCTTGTCACTGACGCCGGCGCGGACATTGACTATTCGGACGGCCAGGTGGGTTCACGGACAGATTATCAACTTGAGGAAGACACACATCGGCACAAAAAACAACAAGCACTGCACCACCACAATTCAGAGAACTAACCTTTTTCAGTAGTAGTACCGAAGGTACGCGCCAGGTCGACCGAAACAAAACAAAGGTACCTCTCTTTCAGCATTCTTCTCGACCCGACGTGGACGAGAAAACAACAGAAAACAGCACCTTCAGGGCAGATGCGTCACGTTTACATTCTGGACGATTCTCGGCAACGCCTAAAAGTATCCCCTCCCCCCCAACCCCCCTCGCGTGCTCATTGCAAGGCCGTGTGGCCCGCAGGGTTTCACATGGGTTTGCCTTGGCGGCTGAAAGTGTCGAACCTTGTCACAAAACAGAATGTGGTTTTCGACATGCCGGTAAAGGGATGCATCACTCGCGATAATGTTACCGTGGAGATCGATGTAGCCATCGTGTTTCGGATCATGGGCGACACAACGAAGGCGAGAGCGAACATAAGAGGACACATGCCAACGCTTTCCGTGGGGTTTTTCGACACAGTATAGCCATCTACTGGTCTCGAGGTGCCTTATTCATTCATGCGTTAGTTTTTCCTTTTGCACCAAGGCGGCCAATTCTTCCCTTTGAACTCATGCTTGTGGGTCACCTCATGCTCTCGATTTGCTTCGTGTCAAAAAGAGAGATTCGTAACCCTCGCCGTCGCCTACTCTGTTTCCGCAGAACGAAGATCCGAGTTTGGTGCGAAAGTTCGTTCACGAAGTGGGAGCCCGAGGGCTAGAGCAGCAGCTGCGCGGGGCACAGGAAGAGGTGATAAAAACAATCAATGATGTGGGGGAACCTCTGCATCGGACTACACCCAAAGGACGTACGATTGTACATACGATCGTGCAGGACTGAGAACAACAAGAATGGTGTCATTTCATGGTCAGATCAGGCGCTGCTTTTCCTCCGGTATTCTACGACAGTAGTGCTGTTGTTTGGTGTTTCCGGAGTCAGTGACAACGGTGTCGCATATCTACGTTGTATCTCTCGACCCTCGGGATATCCAAGGGCGACAAAGCCGCTTCACCTTCAACTCTCGGTCGGGCGATGGGTACACGATCGACAACGGCGTCTGAGCATTCGGTTCGCAGCACTTACTGGGCTCCTTTTTCGGTGCGCGCACGAAACACAGGAAGTGCGAGCGCTCGCGCGAACAATGAAGCACACGGAGGTGTACGGCCTTCGGAACAAGGGCACCCGGGACACCATCAAGGGCACGCTCGCGACCATGGAAGCCGGGGGAGAAGAGGCCCACGGATTGCGCGTCACGCCCTTGGGGACTCCTCCGCCCGACGAAGTATGTTTGTGCGAGGCCCCCAATAGCTCTGCCTTTCGTTTCCTGGGTCTTTCCTTCCAGGGGTCAGGTATAGTTTTTTCAGTATACTCCCTCTGTTGCCGCTGAGCCAAAATAGTTTTTCAACACAAGATGACAACAGTACGCTCGTGTCAATCGCTACAAGACATGGTCCAGGCCTGTCGCAAGAGGAAGACAGGCGGAGGAAGAAGGGCATAAACCCCAATGAACGGAACACTATTGAAAATAATAGCCAAACCGGAGACGCTTACACTCTACGTATCTGTGATGCGTCATCATCTTTCGCGTAGCCACAAAGATGACGCTGTTTCAAGTGGTGGCACTTGCCGAGTGGCCGGCAGACGACACCCTACTAACCGTCTGGCACAAGCAATTCCACGGCGTTGTGCTGGAAACTCGACAACTGCTCCTGAAGCAGACATCAAAGGCCGTTTCTTTGTGCCGTCCAAATGAATACCCCGTGGGGCATCTGGGCGTCTTTCCTTCACACGAATTCTTCTTTGGAGATAACAGTCGGACTTAATCTTTTTCAGGAATCATAAAGCCGGCAACCACCTATCCGCACTGAAGCAGTTCCGAAAAGTCGGCAAGCTAACGTTCCAGGCAGATGCCATGCATATCAACTGGGCGTTCAGAAGAAGACGCATGGTAAACGAAAGAAATGGCCGGTGCCCTGTTGCGTTAGGACTAGTTCCAGAAATCTGCCGCGCGCAAGTGCCTACCCCATACCAAGCCGCGAACTGGCCGCAAGTATCAACGTTCGAGCAACACAAGGTCGTACTATTCTGGTTCCCCATCTTGGTACCGCACATCAGTTGGGCCAGTTTGCACCCGTACCTGTATTGACCGATACCGATGTATTGCGAGATGGGGTGTTCCGGTTCTTGCAGAGATAACCATGAATGTTCTCGCCGTCCGATCACAATAATCGCCAGGCGGCTACCTTAGAGGGTCAGTACGATGAGCAGGATGCTAGCAACGCCGTGGCTTCGAGTACCAAGGGCAGCGACCACTGTCTCAAGATGAAGAACAGTCTCAACAGGCAGTTCCAACCGCAGGTTACCGCACTCGACCCTTGTCCCGCTTGCCCTGACCTCCGTCATTCGTTATGGTTCGTTTCACCATGACGGTCTTGCTACCTGTGACGTGTGTAGACCAACCACTACGATTCACACGGTCGTTGCCATTGTTGACTCTTTGTCCCTGTCGTATCTCCTTCGATTGCATCTTCAACGAAGCACGGGGGCTGGCACTACCGCACGTAACCTCAACTGATATCTCGAAGAAATGGGCTAATGCTGGACGAACTTTCATTGTTTACGAGTCGTACGCCCTATTGTAGGCCTCACGGAACTCAACAACCCCACCCGTTCACGGCGTAAATACGTGCTGAAATGCTTAGTCTATGGCACTCACCACGTCGGAATCCTTGCTTCAACCAACATGAGCGATTACTACCTGAGTTCAACGAACAACTCCATCGGCACTCGGGTATTCCCAATTGACCCATGCGAATGAAATCCCCCCCCGCGGATCTGCTATTGCTCTTTGTGCGTCTGCCCCGGGGTACTTTCTCCGCTCAGGGTGTGATGATCACGGCGGTGATCATCAAGAACGTCGCCCTCCCGCCCAATATCGCCGAGCAGATGACAGGCAAGACTCTCGTGATCAGCAGCGTCGCCGAGCAAAAGATGAACCAGCAATACGACATGCAGCAGGTGACTGGTGTGATGACCCGCAAACTGGTTGTTCGAAAAAGTAGATCCATAGAACTGCATAGAGATATTGTTGCGCCTTCCGGCATGAACAGCGCTCGTCGCTACCTGCGATTCATCCCGCATGCTTCGTGTTCACTCATTGCTTCTGCCCTCGTTGATAGCTGTCGATGTCGCTCTCTCCTGTATAGGTATACTCATTGGGTACCGCGTATTTAATATTGGTGCTACCGCATGTCTCCGTCAAGGAAAAAGCCTCCGCGTTTCACTTGCTATTTTGTACCTGGATTATCGCTGCTTCCTTCGGGAGTGTTATATGACTTCATCGCAAGCCATGTGCACTCCACCACGAAGTGTCTGGCGTCCCATCTACACATCTTTGATTCTGGGCGGATCCATCTTGTCTGCCGCCGTCCCGGCCCAAAGTGGTTCATATTGGTCCATGTTGCCCATGTTGGGTCGACCACGAGTGCGGTTGATTTAGAAGAAGTCTACTGTAGCTGGTCCAAATCGTTTTCATGTTCAATTTCCATCAATGACCCCATACACGCTGCATCAACGTTCCATCGACTGTCTGCAAGAGTGGATTTCCAGCTCGTCCACAAGATCCAGCTCCTCCACAGGTTCCAGTCCCTGTACGGAGCTTGTGCCGGCTTAGACAGGCTTGCGTAACTCATACCTCATCCCCGATTCCGTCCTGCACGAGTAGTTTGATCTCGTTGCCAATATCCACCTACCAGTGGTTTTCGATTTGACGATGGTTCTCATTCGCGACCAGATCGTGTATGACCAAGAGGTGGACACTCTGAACCAGGCGCATGCGGAGCAGAGAGAGGAGGAGAAGCAGAATTCAGAACAAAAGATAAACGAAGTTCAGGTGAGGCAAGGGAGGTGCGCCGGGCGCGAACGGCCTACGTTGTCCTACTGCAGACTTTCAGACGGCTTCCATCCAGAATTACACTTCAGTATGTTTGTATGCAACATATGCTTCAGAGCAAACACCCGGTAGATCCATACGACAGTGGGCTGCCTCACTCTCTTGTTTCATGTATTTTTTCCCGGCTGTCTTTTCACTCTGATTTTCAAAAGTGATATCAGTAATGCCGGGAGCGAACCCCGCATGACTTGGGTCTGATCACACTCAAACTGGCTCATTCCGGGTACAGCATATTTGACAGACGCGCAGAAAGCAGACACCTGACATCCCCTGAGTCTTTCGACCAACACTTTGCCTCGTGCCCGCTCTATGTGTATTACACCTCCCCACTACATGGTTGTACAGGAAGCCAATTCACTTCGTGAACTCGGCAACCTGGTCAACGTTAATATTTTTTCTACCTCTGTTTTTTGTTTTGCGGTAACCATAATGGTGGTCGAGTAGATCATGTTGTGCAGGGTCGAGAAGCCTCACTCCGCGCAAGGAGGATGATGGCACCACGTTGTGTTAAAATGGTCAAGCACCCTCGAGGCAGTTACACAGTGCTTACAACTGTCTCTGGAAGTGAAAGCACCAGAAAATGAACAAAATAATACGCAGCTGTCATCCGTACGCAAGGAAGTAAGCACAAGATGCCGAACACCCTTAGCAGGATGCAGCGCAACCTTCATGCGACTCGCCGAATATCTCACGGCACTTCGCGCTTGGTGATGTGAGAGGCTGGTCCGGTGAGCACCCGGCGTGCTCCGTCCCGGCTTTGCAGGGATGCGAGGTCAATGGTCTGACGACTACGGCATGCACGATTATGAGAACACCCCCCCCCACTAAATGGATATCCCATTCGACTTCACTCTTGTGGTACCCACGTACGACACCCGAATACCCATAGGTATTGGAGTATCACTCATGTTTCAAGCTCTTGGCGAGCCTTAATGGTGTGAGAAGCTGCAAGCACGCATGAGTAGAGATATCCCATTCGACTTCACTCTTGTGGTACCCACGTACGACACCCGTATACCCATAGGTATTGGAGTATCACTCATGTTTCAAGCTCTTGGCGGGCCTTAATGGTGTGAGAAGCTGCAAGCACGCATGAGTAGAGATACCTGCCGATGAAGGGGAGCCCATATTTCATTCATTGGTGTCATATCTACCGGTTCCTGCTCGTCCCTGCTCAGGGTTTGAGTAGCCCGAAGATTCACGAGAGTGAAAAGGCGCGAAACTGTGTGGCCATGCGCGGCGGTGGGTTGGGCTCATATGGTAGATGGGTTGTTGTTGTTGTTGTTGTCTTCACATTAAAAACCATCCCGGTCTCTCTATCCAGTACCTCCTTCTGTCTCAATCTCTCCGTACTAATCCAGCACTTGACTCGGTCAATTTCCGTGGTCACAGGCTAACGTACCTAGAAAAGGTATACCAAAATAAAAATGGACCCCAAGGGTTAGCAGAGCGATAAAATACAAGAAAACAAAAGAATCAGAAACAAATATATAAATAAATAGTGGAACGTGCGCACCACCAGCCTGGGGGGTAGCCTTCCGGAAGGACCCCAAGGGTCAACAGTACGTGCCAGTAAAAAACAAAACAAAAACGAAATAAACCAAAGACAGATGTGTGTGAGCAGATTATTCCTGGAAGTCGTCCTGTTTCCACGCTTTGTGTACGGCTCCATTTGTCGTGCTTCACCGACATTGAGCGGATCGATTGCCAGGAGTAACGTTCCCTTAGGCGCAGAAGAATATTTCTAATGAAATTTTGCAGTAAACAAGGCGGACGGGACCTCCTCTCATACCCGCAGATCCGGCTGGGCAAGCTCAAGGCCGAGGCCAAGAAGACCGAGATGCACATCGGGGAGGCCGATTCGGTTGCGGTTAGACAGATAGAGGCCGATGTCGCTCTCCAGGTACGTACCCCGAAGGGAATTATTGATAGGAGGTGGACAAAGGACCTGCACACCCCACTTCGCTAATGGGGTGCAAACGGTCCATTGGCATTGGTGTGGCATGTAGACGCAATATGGAAGCTCAAAATATGTACACCGACGGTAGCGTGCAATCCGCCCTACAGAGAGCGCGCGCACCTTCTATTGGCCGAGGCTGGGGTTCTTAGTTCTGAGGGTCATGTTGTGGATGGCACCAACACATGTTGCAGTTTAGGGATTCGCTCAACTTCTTAGATTATTCGTGAGGCTCTTTTTCTTAACTGCCAAGTTCTCTTTGCGGGCGCGGAATGTATTCTGTTTTTTCCAAAGACATCTCGCCTGAAGAACTCCCAGGACGCTGCGGTCACGGAAATGCTGGCCAAGTCCCAACGGACGGCCGCGAAACTTCGCGCCGAGTCGGGAGCATTCGTTACGGAGAAGGTAGGGAAAATGTTGGTGGTGATGTTCCCGTCGTTGTGGGCACGCCTTGGACATCTTGACCTCTCTGTCCATCAGAATCACTTCGATGCCCCCAAGAATCCGTCTGGCCAGCAATGTCATACCACGATTTTATTGTTGCTAGCAATTTCAGAAGAAATCAGTTCATACCGGCAAAGTACAATACATTAAGCCCAAAGAGCACCCAAGTACCAAGTACGACAGCTCGGAACAGGTACTTCTTTCATGCGTGCACAAAATCACACGTTCCGCAGAGCGAAGCCGGTGTTTTTGTGCCTTCCACCAGATCTGTATTTGGGATGAGCTCGAGCGTTCTCTGAACAATGAAGAATGCAAGCGACAACCAGAAGATATTGACGGACACGAGAGAAAACACAACCCAAAAGCGGTTGTGCGTTCTCGGAACGGAACAAGACATCGTCCATAGAGACTGTGCCCTTTCGAGCCAACCATATGTGTTGAAGGCTTGAGTGTGTTTGTATGGGGCAACGCAAGGTGGGCCGTGATCGGGAAGTACCGCAGAGCGCACACCGAAGAGCGAAATACGAAAACAAGATAGCTACAGCAGAGCAAACAGTAGCGGGTTCGAACACTAAACCGGATTGTTCCTGATTGGTCTTGGTTTGTCAAGAGCTGCTGACCTTGTTCGTTACAAATCATTTTATTTCCCTCCCTTTTCGACCCCCCGCCATCTCCCTTCCACGACAAGGCTTCGAAAGCCTCTTTGGAGGTGACGAAGAACAACGCCGAAGCCACGGCGATCCTCGCGGAGGCTGAGGGCATCTGCGCTCCCATGGTAAGGAAAACATGCCCACCACTCCTTCCGCAGCGTCTTTCCGTACCCGAATCATGAATCCTGTGCGTATGGAGCGAAAGCTGTCACAAAGTCTGTATTCCAGCCTCTGCTCTCTCAGGAAACCGCGAGTGAGTGAAGCTCAACCGGAGTGAAATTCATAGATAGGTTGGTGTTGCCCCCAAGATCAAGCTTGCCAAACATGTCGCACTAGCCGCACTTGGGGCTCGGGATGTGAACACAAAAATACTTCAGTCTGCGTCCTGGGAACAACGTTTTGCGATAAGATCGACACAGCTGCACAGCTAGACTAATTTGGGAAAGGGCTATCCGCAGTTGCCAATAGCAGTCTGATGGCTGTGGGCAAGTTAACGACAAGAAAGAAGCTAAGTACCACGTTCATTGTCCTCCTCTCGTGCGTGAAGGCAGGATAATGTACATGAGCAGGAACAGCAAGAAACGAGAATCCCCGCTCCGCCCAAAGGGAGAGCTGCACAAATTCATGCAATACGATTAACTACTCCAGCACGTCAATTCATTTGCAATCCTTCCAGGAAAGGTAGTTTTCTCAGCCCCCGCCGCCACCTCCCTGTTGTCTTTCCAGCTTGAGGCCATGAAGACATATACGACGGACAACAAGCGTGTCGACGTGATGAAGAGCCTTTCAGACAACCCCGACCTCGTAATCTCTTCCAGCTCGAACGAAGAGGTCAACGCGATGATGTTGTGTGACGCTGTGCTGACCAACACCGAGCCTGGAAAGCCCCTCAATCGCTCTCAGGTAACCCTACAAGTGAATAAGTAAGACGCTGGTGACGGCAACTTTTTCCTTGTACAGAAGGAATCTTGTCAAGCGCGCTACGGCTTCTCTGGGTGATTTCGGCCAGAGCACAGCAGGAACGCACAAGCAAGTGAAAACGGGTCCCTAGGTCGAGCAGTACACCTGTGATTTATGCAACCGACGATCACATGAGTCGATACCTTGCTTGAAGGTCGTCCACTGCATACATGCCTACAACCCTTTCCACTTATGCACCACCAAAGTGTCGTTTCGCTAGAAAATATCTTGAGAGAGAAACGGCGTTAACCTTGCTGAAATTCAACCGTCGTCACCCTTCCTTGGTTCATTCAAATTCATCTCTTGTGACCTCCCTACAGTGATATCCGTGCATCATGAATGAAAACACCACCCCCCTTTCTCCTGACCGTCTCCCATTCCGTCGCCCCCGCCATGGCATGCGCGCGCACCATTGGAACGAATGGCCGGGGCCATACAGGTCCTCGCCGAGCTAGTGATGTTGCAGAAGGGTTCGAGGGTCTACATGGGCCACGACATGGCTACCGCTGCGTGACCAACTATCCGTCCGTCGAGCAACCACGTTCAATACAACACCGACACATTGAATTACCAGGGTTTTTGAGGCATGTGACGAATTTGGGGTGCCACTCAAGAAATGAAGACGAGCACCAAATAACCCGGGCCGATACGAGCTCTGATGGCCTGCCGATGATAATGTTGGGGTGCCGCAAGGAAAACATTCGTAGAGATAACACCAAAATCTCCACAGCATACACAAACAACGCTGGGACCACATGAAGACGGCTAGGGACTGTGGAGAAGAAACCGGCAACCCGCGCAGCACAAGGACAGCGAGCATGCAGATAGCAACCCTTCTTTGCTGATACCCCCCAGCATAGTGGAGGTTGGAGGGAAACTCGTTTGGGAAACCGTACACGGTACTCATTTCGCCATGAGAGGCTACGATTCGTCGAACCTCCGTTCACATCACCTTCCCCCGCTAAGTGTTACTAATAAAGTACAATTGAACAAAGACGGCACGTGGAACGCAGTACCTTTCCTTGTTGTCTTCCTCTTGACACGGACTATATCCGCGTTTTGAGCCAACAACCATATGTAGGCCAACTCATTGGGGAGTTGATTCAAACCCAACCGACATCGTTTCCCCCACGAAAGTCGCGGGGGTACACGCGTACCACGTCTAGTTCTACCTTTCGGGGACGCAATACACTAAAACGAAGCTCCCAATTCGATACGACTACTACAAGCCCTGCTATGGTACGGGAAAACCATACCAAGTGCGCAACCCCGCGTGCCGTCACGTACCGCGCTGGGTGTGAATGCTTCACCCCGGATACCAAGAAAAACAACATGTACTCCTATTATCTGTTTTGTGCCCTCATGCATCACACTAGTATGTCGCGCACCAACTGAAGCACACGCTTAACTTATGTCATGTACAACACGCTAGTTTGTCGTGCACCAAATAAGCACTCTTCTCATCTGTACCTCATACACCCTACCCGCTGAATTGAGGAAGACCCTGCCGTGTTTCGATGTTTTCTAGCCAGCATTGGATCGAAGTCCCCAAAGCTGCGAATGATACCACGATACGCGGCCCTGTGAATCTCTGCGGAAAAAAATCCCGGAAAGCACAAAAGTGCTATTCACACACCCCCTTAACAGGCCTACATATATCCCTGGGCTAGTACGCCTCACGATGAGGATGGACTACGGGAGCGCTCGTGATAAACAAACAAGAGAGGACTGCCGCGATATTCTATACACCAAGACCCAGCTACCATCGCATCAGAATCATTATCAGCAGCAGCAGCAGCAAAACGAACAAAATACTAACGCTGCAATCACCTGCAATCACGTCGAAAGTCGCCCCGACACAGCGGAAACTCCTCGCTTTCTTCAACTGCGGGGGAACCAGTTCCTGTGAATTCAAGTCCAGCTACCGCAACATATGGTACAAAGAAGAACTAGATATAATGACCGAGGGGGACTTCGGAGATTCGGAAGTTCATGGCATCTAATGACGCGATAATCCGATCGCGTGACGTACGATTTGACCACGATTGATAACACGCGCTTGAGACAACACTTGCTCTATACATCACATGCCGAGCAATACACTATCTCGCTCTATATGTTCGCTTACTGTGCTTCGACCTTGCCGACACCAGAAATTTAACTCTCGGCGTCACGAAAATGCAGCAGAGCAGCTCAACAGCTGCAGCAGGTGTACGAACTCCTCCAGCTCCAACGTATGTCAGCCTTGGTATTTTGATGCAATTTAATGCAGGCCTGATTGCCAGAATGATGTGGGATCGCCAGTTGTTGTCTGACCTGCCGCAGGACACAGTACCTATAATACGCAGTCGGAACTCTAAGCCCCGACAACATACTTCTTTTCTAAAAGGATGCAACAGGAACTACAAACCCTAGGACGAGGAGACCGACATATCATAGTCCACGTGTCTGTCTGACCTGCCGCAGGACACAGTACCTATTATACGCAGTCGGAACTCTAAGCCCCGACAACATCCTTTTTTTCTATAAGGATGCAACAGGAACTACAAACCCTAGGACGAGGAGACCGACATATCATTGTCCACGTGTCTCGCCGTCCCTCGTTTCGAATGCTCGCGATGCCGAGGTACGTCTCTCTTAGCACCATGCCCCAGCAACGGCAGACCAGCACACACACGCCACCACAATTGATACTCACAGTCGTGGAGTCTTTGAGATCACAACCCCAGTCTGTAAACACCTCCCTCACCACGTCCCTTCACTTTACGGCCGTGCGGAGAATACCACGTCCTTCAGGGCCTCCTCGGCGCTGGGCCTCACGCCCACATCCTCCGCCAGCAGGCGCTTCACTAGACCCACTACGCACGTCAGTTCAGGCCCTGACCCTGCTGACAGTCCCGCCAAAGGCCCAGAGGGGCCACAACCACCACTACGGCCACCGCCGCGGCCCTCGTTGCCAATGGTAAATCTGGCCGCGGCGCCTACCCGTCCGCCCGTCAAGATCTCGTGCAGGACGCAACCGACGGCCCAGACGTCGACGGGCGGGCCCCAGGCAAGCCCGCCGCTGGCCTCGGGCGAGAGGTACGACGGGGTCCCCGCCGTGACTCCGGGCACCGTGTCCGAGGCGAACACTGCGTTGCCGAGGTCGATAAGACGGAGGTCGAACGGAGCTTGTGCTGCCGCGGTTGGCGGCGTCGCCGTTGTCGCGTTCTGGGGCGGTGAGCTACTAGAAGGGGGCGGGGGGTAGAGGGCGACGTTATCTGGCTTGATGTCGGCGTGGACCAATCCGACCGAGTGCAGGAACGCGATGCCCTGGCGTGGAAAGAGGGGGATGGGAGTTGGTCGACCGGACAGGAGAAGGTACGTGGGGTGGAAGGGGATGGGGGTGATTCGCCACTGTGGGGGACGGTGAGATAGCGAAATATCCTGGCGGAAAGGTGGGGACAGGAATTGGTCAACCGGACTGGAAGGAGTAAGGGGACGAGGATGGCCCGTAAGTATGGGGGACGGTGAGAAAGCGGAAGCTGCTGATACTACACACGGGGATGTCTTTACGCCGAGCTTGCATGGCACGCCTTTGGTGCGGTCGTACAAAGCAGACACGAGTTGAAAGTTGAGAAACACCGCCAGCAGTACGGCCACAACCTTCGGAACGCCCCGATCACCTGCATTGCACAGCCAATCGCGGCACAGCAGCAGAATGTGGGGAGAAGTTGGCGAGAAACCCAGCAACACAAAACGAAACAAGCCGGGAGGGCACGCACCTCGAGAAGACCGCGAGCAACCTCAACCACCTCGTGGGCCTTCCACGCCAACAAAGCAGGTGCGGACGAAGGCATGTTGCTGGTGGTGACGCCGCTTTGTGCCGTACCTATCGGCGGCGACCGTGCCGACATAGCCTCCCGCAGCGAGAGCCCCCCCCCGCGAAACACGAGGCACACGTGGTCGACCCCGCCAACGGCTGACCGGCGGTAGAACCATGAGGCGAGCTCGGCGAACCGCGACCGCTCGTGCGTCAAGCCCGCCTCCTGCCGCTTCACCTTGAGGAACGCCAGGGTTTCTACTTCGTGCAGGCATGCTCCCATGCCGGATTCTCCCCCTGACAAGACCTGGATCGGGCGCCGTTATACGGAAGCCATCAAATGAGCCTACACGCTTGGAATGAAAAATGGCCATCTCCCAAGACAGCAGTCATCCATACTGCTGTCGGTCGTGTTGACCTACTACTGCTGTATGTCCATACAGTCAAGAGTATTCTAGGCTACACATACGGTACAAAATTTACCACGCGCTCGGCTTGGCTACTGGTGTGCTGTAGATGCCACACATTAGAACATGCATAACGATAGAGTTTTTCACAACATTGGGCAACACGTAAGATATTCCTGCGCAGACGGGCCGGTTGCGTCGAGGCGAAAACACATAGAAGCTCCTGGTGGCCAGTACAGGCACTGCTTGCAGTACGGCGCATGTGCAGACAGGAGTTTGAAACCACCAGAGACGAGTGTTGTCGCCACACCTTGACCGTGACAACTCGCCGAGGGCGATCAGCTTCATCCCCCATCGCCTCCTCCTGCTCCTCGCGGCACTCGAACACCACGCTGTTAAAACCCTTGCTCCGCCTCTTCACGACTCGGAATGGAACCGACTTGCCGGCTAGCGGGACGCTCATCATCTCGCCAACATGCACGGAGACCTGCTGCTGCGGCTGCTGCTGTCGTCGTCGATGCGGAGTTTTTATGTGCTTGGCAACCTCATCGCTGCCACTCGCGTGAGCCGGACCCGAGGCAGCGGCCGATGGCACAGCCCCAGCAGACCGTGCCGCATGTGTCGGCGGCAGTGGTGGTGGCGGCAGGTGGTCCTCGGCCATCGTTGAGTTCTTGCGCTTAACCGGGGGTGAGCTGAAGTTTTCCTCATCATCGTCGTCCACCTGCATCCTCTGTTGGCGTACCGGCTGTTGGGTTGGGCAGGTGGCGTCGAACGCCGACTTCGTCGATTGCGCGGTATTGGTCGGGCCGGTGGTGAAGCGGAAGACCGCATTCGTCGGGGTCCTCTGGTGGCCGTCTTCGATCATCCTGGGACAGCGTGTGCGGGTGTTGGTGAAGGTCGTTGTGTGTGCTGTGTGGTGGTTTGATGCTGCAAACTGCAACTGACGGCCGCGCTCCGCAGATTGCAACCTGTGTACGCTTGAGGACGTGCCACGTACCCCCCCCGCTGCCAGCCGCCTCAGCCGCCGGCCGCCTGGCCGTGCACGCGCTACCGCAGTATCGCACAACGCCTTCGGCCCTTGCGTAACCATGAGAGTACTTGTTGCTTCGGTTGTTGGGACAACGTTTTTGCTTGGAGCAGAAGGTCAGTCGGGTCGATTTACATCACACAATGGACTGGACGGGTTATGTTGAACAACGGGAAGTGACACAGGTCATCATGTGTACATATGGCGATACAGCAACAGCTACAGCTGCATGTAGTCTAGCCCTCTATCACGTTGGCGCCCTCCGCGTTGGGCCACGTGTTTTTGAAGTCTACCGCTGGATGGCCGCCAGCTGAGTGAGGCATTTTGACAGCATTGCATGCAACCGCTATGCATACAACTCAATGGAGCTACATACGGCGGTGCTGCTTCGCAGTTGCATCTCTCGGCTTTAGTCTACCCATGAACCAACCCCACCTGACGAACCAACCGCCGTGTAGATGTGGACGGTGGCAAAAAAGCAAAAGGGGCTCGTTCTGCGATACCACATTAATGTGATAAGATAACTTGGTGTATGCTTGGAAGTATCTGCGAAGCTGTGCTCAGCAGTTGCGTGCACTGAGTTCAACGAGAGACGCGCGGTCTTCAAATAGAGTGTCCGCGAGTACTTTTGAACATAATGAAAAGCCTGCTGGCGGGAGCAGTTGTCTGTTGTTGGTGTGCGCGGGGCTCTCCTCCATGCCCGCTCCTCGTAAGGTATTTGAAAGCTGCTCCACCCATTGGTGAAACCCCAAGCCGCTCGAGCTCCCAGCGTGAACGACCGTTGGGCGGGGAAGTCTTCTGAGCACGTGTGCGCGAACGGCTTCGCCACCATCCTGGGACACGAACAGACGGAGAATCGTTGCTTATATGCATCAACCTCACCTCGCTCGCACCCGGCTTGTTCTCTGCCAGACTGCCGCGTCATCACAGAGGCGTTCGCGCACCCACCTGTTCCGCGAACGGGAGCTTCTGGACGAGGTACTGCTGGAAATAGCCGCGGCCTCGCGGTTGTCCGGACACGCGCACCGGCGGCTTTCTTCCGCTCCGGTACGGATGTCTCATCGTCCCGCCCCGAGGGGGAAGCAGGGGAGGAGGGGCAACGGAGGCGGCCGGCGCATCGAGGTGGTAAGATCCTGGGCACGTTCTGCCATTCCCCGTCGTCGTTGCGGAGTTGATGTTCTCTGGTTGGTCTCTGGCCTGTTCCGCCAATTCGACTTTGACTGTCATTTTGGCCAAGATATCTGTGTTTTGTGTTCTATGTCAAGCGTATATAACATGACAGCGGCGGGACAACGGCCCCAACCCACGAGCAACACACCCATGACATGCGCCACCACCACTCCCTCAATTTCATCGTTGGAAGCCCTATACTCACAGTAATGTCATTCCCGGTATCGGGCAAACCAGCTTCTGGTGTCAGTCAATCCTAATAGTGGTGCGGTCGGCACTACACCAGCAAAAAGGAAAACACTCACGTGTTGATCGTCTACAGCTTTGGTACTCATTGGTGCACCACCGTAAACAATCTACCATCTCCACGATGGTTGCGCCCACGAAGCGCAACCAGGACGTTGACAGTTCGTCTTCTGAATACATGTCGGGGAGGAGACTGTTGCCGGCTCGAGCACCCCCGGACGAAAAATTCAACCCTCGCTGCCAGCGCGTGTGTGAGACGGCGGCGACAGCCTTCGTCATTTGTGGGTGTTGCGGTGTCCGGCTGTACTGCTGTGTTTGCGTCCTTTGTGTGGCTTGGTTTGGCAGGCGCGCGGATGGAGATGGTGCTACAACCCTCGGAAGTTTACCAGGAACATGTCAGAGAATAGCGTGTGCACCAGCGTTTGTTTGCTTGCATCCACACCCAGATGATTATCGTGGTACAGCAGCGGACAAAATTTCAACACAGAAGTTGGTGGGAATTTGGTTCGGGAAGCCGGAGGTTTTCACGTCAACGACCAAACTCACGTACATGTCGTGCGCTTTCCGTTTCCTTACACGCGCGCCCTCCGCCCTTCAACTCTGTCCAGCCAGCAGCGGCAGCGATCTCGACCTGAAGGGGGCCGCTCCACGGCACCGATCGTCTCGAGCAGCAGCAGCAGTAGCAGCGTTAGCGCCGTTGCCGCAAACAGCGGTAACAGCGCTGGCCGCGATCCTGATGCTCGCTTCCACCGAACAGGATATCATGACCGCCATGATGGGGCTTGATCCCTCCCTGGCGACGTCCACCGCAGCGCAACCCGCCATGACCTTGCCCAAAGAGGAGGGTCCACAGGCAAAGGGTGGAAAGGCGTCGTCGATGGGTTCGATAGATGTACAGGGTCAGGGGGACGCTCTCGGCGAGATCGCCGGAGGCCCCGGCGGCGGCTTCAAGAACGGGCGACTTATGGTGGACCAGGATTCGGACCTGGCCATGATGCTGGGCAAGAAGATGAAGACACCGGATGCCGACCCGTTGACGCACTGATGGTTTTTTGTCTTGGTTTCTGTGTGGAGAGCCTGGGTGATGTGTTTTGATGTTTGGTGTGGAAGAGCCTGTGACCAAGTCCGGGCGGTTTCGACGGAGTACGCGGCTGGGTTTTTCTATGCCCCTCGCAGCTTTGTTGGTACTGCGTCGTCTCCGTTGGGCATCGAGCCTTTCATTTTTCGTCAGCACCACGCCTCATGTTTACTCATCCTAGTATCTCCATGCACATGCCCAGAGTGTCTAGGGAAGGTAGCCCTCGGAATCGGTGAAACATGGGGTACACCAACGTGTTCTTGGGCCTACAGGGTGACCGGTCGCCCCCCCTCCCCCTCCTTGTCCACACGAGTCAGTGTGTTGAAGCCGGGCCAACTGCACGAGGGAAAAATGCTTCAAGCGGTAACAAGAGCCGACCATATTTTTACTTGGCTTTTCCCGTGTGAATGGGGAATGCATTGCAGGCTCATGATTCATGGACATTTTAGAGGCGTTCTGCATTCGCTGCTGGCGTCGCGGAAGGGATCATTGGCGCGAGATCCGCACGCTTTGTGTTGACCGCAGATGATAGGTCTGGGATACACAAACTGAACATCGTGTCAACGAGTGCTTGAACAAGGACGGTGTCATTTGTGGCGACCGTCCCCTTTTCCGTTCCAACCGTTACCCCTCCATCTAGTCGGCTTGAAAAGCGTTTCATTTTTTTCCGGCGTGCCCGTGAGCTTCGCGCGCCCTGGTCATGTATCCTGTGGGGTTCACCATGTGAATCCAACCTAGGGCGCGCTGTTGAACCGTATGAGCACGTGCTCACAACCAACTTGTCCCTCGTGCGGCACTTTTTGGGGGTGCCAACCGTGCGGGAAACTTGATGCCCCCCACCGGGACCGGGTGATACATCTTATTGTGGACTGGGCGATGCGGTTTGGAATTGGCGCACCAGAGTACCCGTGCGTTTTTGTGAAACACCACACGCGCGTCATCACCGAAACAGCCTTCCATGCACGTTTGCGTGTTGTTCCATGATTTCGAAGTCGTGCAACGTTAGTTGACGTTGCTGGCATGATTTAGTACGCGTTAACCGCCTCCAGTGCGACCGTACATCAGCCTCAGGCAGATGTCAGGAAAACGCCCTGTACGTACTGCTTCCCGAAGGAACCCTCTAGTGTTCCTCACTACTCCAATCAGCAGTACGATACCTTGGCGCAAGCAAACTTACGTAGATACAGATCATCGTTGAATCTGGGATGGCTAACGAAGGTTTACCCTCTCCCACCATTCACTACTTACTAGTTCACCGTGGGCCAACGAGTGCAGCCCCTCTCGCCACCCAGCAGTGATAGGCGCTGGTTGGCTTGTGACGAAGCGGACAGGATTTTGGCTTGGTCGCTTGGAATGGAACATTCTCTCGTGTGACCCCGGCGATGGCAACAATGCGGAATTTGACAAACCGACAAGGCCTTGCTTATTGTTTTCACTCTTTTTTCGAAACCCTTTGACGCTGAGGGGGGGGAAATTCACAACTTGGGGAGGGGGGACGTGGGCGTGATACTCAGCGGCCAAGCACAGGCGCCCCGTCACGCAAGCGAACGTTTATGGGAGAATGCCACCTTAGCGTACCGGTTTTTTTTTCCTTCAAATCAGCGTTCACAGCGCTGGTGCCGTTTACTCCAACCCGTAGTCACACAGAAGGGCCCCTCTCTACCCTCCCCTCCTGCGGTACTTTGCCTTCGATTTTTCATGCGAGAAGAGGTCAGCACTCTCTTCCCTCTGTGTACACACGAACTAGCGCCATCCACTAGGCAAGGAGCGGAAGGAGAGAAAAAATCACTTTGCAAGAAAAGCTCGCTTACGCCGGGATTCAAACCTCTGACCTGACCTCTAGATGGCTTCGGGGATACCAACTAGACCACCGGGGGTACCTTGTTTTTTGCAGAAACCCATGTACTCGCAATCGTCGAAACCCGTTAAACGAAGCCCTTTGTTACCAATAAATGTCAACGTCGGGATGTTTTTTGAAGGGCCAAGCATGGTATACGAGAATGCGAATAAGACCTTGTTTTTTTCTTGGGGGGGGGGCGTCCACTTCAGTGAACGAAGCAGAATCCCAAGCTCATCCCAGAGGCGACATTCGCATGCGGAAATATATACACCTCGGCGCGGGTGCATTGTCTCTCATTTTTCACTCGGCCTTACTCGCGGCCTCGCTCGTGAGCAATAAATTGTCTCGGCGGAAGCAAGCACCACGGTTGCGGGCAGAGCACAGGGTAGCGTGGCTCACCAGTGAATCTACACCCGGCACTCGTTTCACACACTAACGCATGATACACCTTGATCAAACAGGAAGTCTATCGTGTCGCTGAAGATAATAAATTTGTACTTTCTTTCCATCCACCCCCGCGCTCCAAGCGCGAAAAATATGGAACACTAAACCAAATCGTAATGTGACACCTAGTCACGTACACGTTCAACGCCAGTCTCCCTTTTCCACCCGCAAGCCTCAGCAGCCACGCTTCCCACCCGCAAGAAACACCTACAATAACCAGTACAGCTGTAAGAGCCGACAAAGGAAGCCAAGCCGATACCGTCAAACGACACAAGCAGTTACCGTCACCAACGCGGGAAACCGCCAGAAAATCTGCAAACAAAAACGAACTCAACGTCAAATGAATGAGACAAATTCACAAAAATAACATTCACATAAAACATCGTCGGGAGGGGGGGGAATAACAGCTAGAGCGCCGCGCAGACACCACTACCAAGAACTCAAAACATAAAAGAGCGGGCAATGCGCTGTCCTTGGTGTTTCCTGAAATTTGGATCTTGAACGGCGGAGAAATCGCCCCTACAACCAAACATCTCGCAAACGAGGTGGTAAAAAAACAAACTGGGCAAATACTGGAAAACCAAGCCAATGAACACCATGCCCTCCGACAGTGGGGTGACTGGGTACCGATCGAAAACCAAGGAAACACAGACAGAATAATCATGGAAGCAAGAATTCTGCGACCTCGCACATCATGCTACCCTCAGACAACGACAAGAGGGGAATCGCTCGCTTCGTATCTTGTGTGGCGTGGCGGGGAAGCACATTTAACAACAGGCGGTATCCTTCGCCAGCTGCGCTTCCCTTCCCATATCTTCTCTTCTCTCTGTATCAAAAAAACTCTCCAAGAACACATTTGCTGTCCGGCTGTCTAGTCTGGCGTATTTTTATCGGCCGGCCGACAAACGCGGTGGATGCCGAACGCAAGGGAGACACACGAACGCACGCCAACACTCCGCGCCGAGAAACGCTGCCAAGCCGACAACCGTGCACCCACTAGTACGCGCGCACACACGGGCGGCGCGCAAGCATGCGCACAACCCCGCGCTTCCAAGCCGCGGGGATGTCCCATGCCCGATCGCTTCTCCGACGAGGTCCACAGCCGACATCGGCGGAGGACATCCCAAGGCCGCCGCGCCTACTGACATGTGCGCTACAAAAAAAACGGCGATCACCACCATTACCACCGCCACCACTACCGCTAATACCGCTGACAGCACATCGCACGCACGATCTTGCACGCTTCATAGGCGCGCGCAGGAGACCCGCCTCTCCTCCCTCACAAAATGAAAATCTACGCCCATGTGGTCTAGCCACAACGACAACGAAAAAACAGACGGGGGGTGCGGGGGTGGTGCTGGGTTCTCTTGTTACAACCGTCACCGCCGGTGCTCTTCTGCTCATGCTGGCCCCCACGGCTTGAACTCATTCCAACCTCCATCGTCACAACACTCTCTACAAGACGTACCGCGTTCGGTCAGACGGAACCAACTTCCGAGCGAACCTCTGACACAACCAAGACACCACCTGCACCTTCTCTAGCAGTTCCAGCGCTCAAACCCTGCCCAGGAACAAAAAAGACAACAACAGGTCCCTCCCACCCGGGAAACTCAATCCTATCCATCCCAACGTCAAAACCCCTCGCTCTCGGAGGTTTCGCCAACATTGCGTTCCCCGCTCCCCTCGCTGTCGCTGAGTGGCGCAACGACTGTCCTCGTCGCCTTCCTACCGCCGCCGCCGCCGCGTTTCTTCGACACCTGTCCCGGGCCTGCCCGGCTGTTCCTCTTGCTGCGGCCCCCGTCGCCGCGCCCCCGTTCGCTCTTCTCCTCGCCCTTGCCCCTGCCGTTGTCTGCGGTGGCGGGGGGCCCTCCAGACTCCATCTCCACCACCTCCATACCTTCGTCTCCACCGCCGCCGGCAAGTCCCTCGCATGCGGACGCCGCCGCGGCCGGGCTCACCAAATCGATCGCCCGAGCACCGGCAGACTTTCCCCGTTTCCGAGGGGACGGAGACGAATCCCCGTGAAGCCGTCCGTTTCGGCCGTTGACCCCCTGTTTGTCGAGGGACTGAGCGTCCTGCTGCACGCGCCCCCTGTCCCCTCCGATACCGCCTCTTCGCTGCACTCCTGGTGCTGCTGTTGCTGCTGCTGCTGCTGCGGCCGCGGTGGCGGCGGCGGCGGCGGCGGCTGCTTTGCGCGGTTCTCGCAATTTGTTGCGCTCGCTCAACGTCAGGCCGAACTGCTCGTCCACTACCACCCCGCTGCCGCCGCCGCCGCCGCCGCCACCGCCGTGTCGATCCCCATCATCGTCGTCACTCTCCGCGCTGCTGCTCTCGAAGGACAGGGCCTCGCCGGAGGCATTCGCACCCGTCTCCTCGTCTCCGGACACACCAGCGGCAGGCACGGCGCTACTCGCCGCGAGACTGTCGATGGCGCCGCCGCCGATGCGCAGCCGGTTCTTGACGGCCCCCTCCGTCTTGTTCGGAGAACCCGGTACCTGTAGCGGCACTGCCGCATCGACTGCGTCCTCTCTGGGTCTCAAGCCCCTAACCCCCCCTGTTCGCCCTGGGGATGCGGCGGAATTGTCCTCGATCGGCCTGCAGTCGTCGGTGGCCGATAGGCAAGTCGCCGCCTCAGGGGGTAACCCTGGGCCCTTTCGGGCCGGCTGTGCCCACGGAGGCTCCCCGTTCCTTCCCCGCTGTCGCAAGGGGGTCAGTTTTGCCGCGTGACGCTGTTCTCGCTCGCGGTTGCTGCTGTCGCCTTCGGCCACGGCCGGCTTTACGCACCGTGATCCTGCGGGCCCCCAGGATGAAGCCTCGTCGCCCTGCCCCGCCCGTTCTCGGGATGCTTGTTCCGTCGAGGACTCTTCCCCGTGAGCACCGGACGCCGTACCTACCACCGCCGTCGTCGCCGCCGCCCCCCCCCTCCCCCGTTTTCTTCGCACCGGTTTAAGGACTTCCTTCGCTTGCCTCGCCTCGGTGTCGGCGGAATCCTCGCCACCCTTGTTGCCCTCCCTGGCTGTCCCCTCCAACCCCACCGTTCGCGCTTCATTCGGAATATCCCCAGCATCCTCTTTCTCCCCATACCCCTGGCACCCCCGCCGGGACGCCAACGGCGAAAGACTCTCGCCCCAAACGCCTCCGGTGGAGTAAAACTCGCCGCCTCGCTCGTTCGTGGCTAAGGCCACGGTAGCAGGATCGCCCGGCTTGGCTTCTTCAGGTCGCTGTTCCCCGCTTCCAGCGCCGCTGCCACCGCCGTTGTCGGCTTCGCTTCCCTCGGCCGCTACGACCCCGTTTTCTACGTCGTCCAGCGTTAGCCTCGCCGCCGTGCCAACCACTTGCCGCAGGCCGTTCATCGCGGCGCCGATCTCCGCTCTCCTCCCCCCCGTTTCGTCGTCACCCTCCTCTTCCTCCTCCCCCTCCTCCTCCTCCTCCTCCTCCTCCTCGTCCTCCTCCTCGTCGTCATCATCGTCCTCCTCCGCCTCCTCGATGCTCTTCCCCGCGCCTTCCGTCTCTCCGCCTTCCGCCTCTTCGCCGTCGCCGCCGTCGCCGCCGGTCCCGTCGTCGATGTCCGTGTCCGTATCCGTATCCTCGTCAGAATCTTCCGACGACGACGACGACGATTCGGAAGACGACGATGAGTCAGAAGACGACGACGAGTCGCTGCTGCTATCGCTCGCCCCGCCCAAGCTCTCCGTGTCACTGGCGGGGGCGGCGGGGGCGGCGGGGGCGGCGGCGGTAGCGGCGGCGGCGGGTTCGGCGGCGGGTTCGGCGGCGGGTTCGGCGGGTGCGGCGGCGGCGGCGGTGGCGGTGGCGGTGGCGGTGGCGGACTTCTTCACAACGTTCGCAACGACATTCGCAGTGGCGCCGTCGCCAAGTTTGCCGTCGCCGCTGGGGGGGGGCACGGATGCGGCCGCCGCAGCACCGGGGGGGGGG